ATTGTGTTTGAGACATTTTTTATTTTTATTTTATGGTGGGTGGGTTTTTTATTTTTATTTTTTAAATCTGTCTTTCGTGTCCTGTAGGATTGGTTCTATGCAATTCATCACATAACCTTTGAACTCAATGAAAGTTTTAATCAACAATCAGCAGATCCTAAAGCCTAATTTAGCGTTCCAAGCTTCATACATTCTTTAAAGTAAGGTCATACCTGGGGAAGCTTAACAGACTATGTGGTAGCTGGTTTTAAATTCTACTCTGTACAGTTTGATAAAGGGAATAGTAGAGAGAGAGAAATAAAAGAACTAAGCACTTGTATGAAGTCTTTAAGGAAGACTACCTTAATTCATTTCATGATTTTGTAGGTTTAGAAACACATAAAATGTGAGGGTTGCCATGTTTGCTGGGTGTAGTTTATTGAAATACAAGCAAAGATATTTCTGAAACAAAAAAATGTGCTCATGCCCAACAGGTAGTCAGCATAGTTCTTATGAAAGCTTGTTTCCTTTGGCTGTTTTGTACAAAAGCTGTTAGCAGTGAGAGTAATACGAAATCTGTGTTATAAGCTGATTTGGGAAAAAATGTGATAGTTGGACCTTTTATAGCTATTTTGTTAGATTATTTTATTTTCCTTCCATACTAAAAGAATGAATAACTTTGAACAAAGCCCAGGCTTTATTTAATAATTTCTGCTGAAACAGACGAGAGCTTTTGTGGAGGGCTGGATCTTGCCATCATTTTGCCTCTTTTTAAAAAGATTTATTTATGCCATCCACAAATGGTTAAATGACAGATTGTGTGCAAGAGATGTAAGTCAGAGAGCGTAAGAATGCATTGGCAGAGCAGCCAGAGCGGCTTCAGCATATTCTGAGCACTGGGACAGCAATTCTTGGGTGCATAAACTACTGTTAAGCAAAACTAGGAAATTAATGAGATTAGGTGGTGTACATCACAAGCTTAATCTGAGGTCATTGGTCCTACTGCGTGAGAAGGTCTGAAATGTTTCCAAGCAGCATTGCCTCCAGGTTCTCAAGAAGTCTTTTTTTGAACCTATGACAAGTGTATTTTCTTTCAGGCTCCAGAATAGTTCTACATTTCATTTTGGTGGGGCAGTTGTAAAACGTGATCCTTCAGATGAACAGCATAGCAACAATACGTAGGCAAAACCCATTCAAATAGTGGGAAGATTTTCAGAGTGGGACTTCGTGTAGGAAATTAAGCTGTTGGCATTCAGTTACCTAAAACTGCTGACATACAGCTGACATGAAGAGAGATGAGGAAGAGACCCTTTCCATTTCCAGACATATTACCCAAATTTCAGATGTATTTTTTTGTTCTAGAGGTGGTTACCAATTTAAAATGATAAGTGATAAGAAGATCTTTCATGGCCTTTAGTGGAGTCTTTCAGCATGAGGGAAGAAAATGCTAAGCCTGTCCAAATAAAGTCTTCTGTCATTGCTGGAATGTGTGTCCAGCTTTTCTTTTTAATGGGGAATCTTAATTCATACCTCATTTCTCAGTGACGTTCAAATAGTAGATGTTCATTTTTATAGTTTGTTATTTCAGGTATAGCCACTGTTGTCTTTAAGGAACATTGCTGGACAGTCTTTAAGTCCTCAGTAGCACTTTGTATTTTAAGGAATACTGTGTCATTCTCTGTCTAGTATAAAACAAACTTCACAACAGGTGACATCAGTGTTAGGGTCGATTTTGAGGTGGAGAGTTTTTAAAGTGCAAAAGATATATGGGAAGCAGCCTTCACAGAGAAGGTGCTTAGAGTAGTGTTTCTAAGGTCCGTTCTGATTGTTGACATTTAGACTTTGTCACCAGCCATTTTACAAATCAAAAGCATAGGAAAGATATCTTGACATGTGCTGGTCAATTAAGTGTCCAGTGGTTGCATGTCATATTTGGGCAGTGTGGAAATTCCAATAATGTTAGTGATCAGATGCCAGGCACAAAACAAGGGCTTGATGTCATCCTTTTTTTTTTTTTTAACAATAGGATTAAGGTGCAGAATGCCTATTTATATTAATTGCAGTTTATTGAAAAGGGAAATTCATGTTTTATATTGGTACTGGAGTATGTTTTAGGCTATTTTTGCATGTTTGCAGAGGGAAGATAGAGTATTAGAAGCCTTTTTCTTCTCCCGTATCGCTGGACTGGGCACTGAGAAGTACAGTTGCCATTGCTATGATGCTCGGCTCCTCTAGGAGACAAGAGTGATAGGGCTTTTCCTCCAGAAGGCATCATTGGCATGTCAGAGTCATCGTCAGGAGGAAATAGAAGTTTCCTTTCACACTGCAGCAAAGGGAAAAATAAACAAAAATCCCAAACACAGTGGAATTCTAACTTGAGCTGGCATGAACTAGATTGTAACTTGAAGTGAAAGTACTTATTTCTGTCTGCACAAGCTGGAAATGGAGATAGCCCTAAATGGTGTAGTTTTTCTTCAGACTTTCAAGGTATGTGACAGAAGATGTCTTAGCAGCTGTTCTGTGCCCCCTCTTTCAGTATGTCACACACTGGACTCCACTCTGTCTTTTTAATGTTCAACGGTGCTCCCTGAATGCATTTTTAACTGTGTGCAAGAGATTTAGTAACAGGGCTTTAAAAAATGTAATGGAAAACCCCTGAAACCATCATCTAGCTAAAAGGACAGTTCGGATTACTCCAAGTGCCAGTCTGGAGTGACCCAGAGGGTGCCATATATGACTTTCTTGCAGAGAGTGAGTTTGATCCTCATATATCTTAGTAATGCAGTATAGAAGTTATAGACTGAAGCTGGGCCAAATCTTCAGCACATCATACACTGAGGACTGCCTCAGGCAGGGATATACTATCTTCTTCAAGGTAGGGAAGAGCTGCAGCCTCAGTTCACAAGCCATGAAGGACTTTTCCAAAGGGTTATTCTCCTTTTCTCTTTTCCATGTAGAAGGCAAGTCTAGGACCAGCATAAATTTTTTTTTTTTCATTTCCTTGTATGACAGGGAGTGAAGAACCGTGAATAATTGCCTGATGTCTAGACTTTATATGCAGTCGTAAGCATTTGCCTGACTTTTCTTTCTGTATTGCAAAATTTTACTAATTCCAGTGAATAGAATTAACAGAGAGAACACAAAGAGAGGCAAAACATATGTGCGGTATTTACACTGCCACCAGATGACTGTGATCAGCATACTGGAAACAATGTCAAATTTCTAAGCTTCGTTTTCCAACTGACTCAAATAGCAACGATTTGAGTTGGCTTCTGCCATTTTGTGTGCAGCTTCTAGACACAGGCCACTCACTACCATCTACAAAGGGCTTCTCGCATCTGAAGAACATGGGAGTCAATTCATATATTAACGCCAAGATGACTAGGGTCTGGAGAAGGCTGTGAACAGATTATCCTCCATTTTCGTTTTCCATCACAAGCAAATGTGTGTATGGAGAGAAGTCAGAAAAGGAAAACACTGAGGCAGAAAGGAAGGTGTATGAACAGGGCAGAAAGAACAGATAGCCTGGGAACAAGATTTTTGCAGAAGAGAAGCATAGGCACCATCTGCCAAGCTGTTCATTGAAATACGAGGTTTAATTCAACTCACCTAGACATACCTCTACTAAAATACTTACGTATGTGTTTAGGTGTTTCCAATGTCTTGCTGAGTTGGGGCCTTTAAAAGAAAAGTGAATTAAGAACAATGGAGAAAGGAAAAGAAATACTTACTTCTACAGGTGGAGTTTTAAGTTTCTTGTTAATGTGCAAAAGAGTTTTCTGAAATAATTGTAAGGTGAAATACAATATATTACTATTTGTTTTTAAAAAGTCCTTATTTTGCAGGTTTCTTATCTAATTATGATTGTGGATCACAGATAAATTTTTACTGTGCCCTGAGCATTAAACTCTAGTGAGAAAAATGTCACTATTTTATTTTTTCCAGAAACGAGAAGGAATCCTCCAGTCTCGACAAATCCAAGAGGAAATAACTGGTAACACTGAGTATGTCAACACCACTTTTGCCAGTTCAGTAATTGAACACAGATGCGTCTCAGAAATTCAAACATTTGCTGATATTTAGATTTTGGTATTGGGGTTCCAGGGAAGATGATGCATCAGCCAGTGACTGTATTTTAGCCTTTTCAAGAGCTGAAAACATGCATCTAAAAATACAAAAGGGTGAGGAAATACAGAGCTGGGGAACTAAAAGCAGGAGCCCAGGATAAAAGAGAAGGCAGAGTGAAGATGTACAAAATCCCTATTTTGTATTTGTCTACTATTAATTTATTTCTGTATCTATTATATTTCTTATTATTTTATTCAAAAGTCCTTCAAACAAACAAAGATATGCTTCATTCTATTATGTTGGTATTTATTTGATAGAGAACTAGATTCTTTCAGAAACGAATGTGATAGAACTATTTTTAGGTGTTTGGACTTTGGGGATGTAAAATGATGGTAGTAAGCCCTGTACATGTCATCTCACAAAACAATTTATAACATAAAAGTTATTCCAAACCAGCAGAATGGAATAGTAGAATATCCTAGTTTCTAACAGAATCGAGAGAAGCTGGGCTATTGACTTATTATTAATCTTTATGATTTTGTTTATGTGTAATAGTTTTATGAGGGATCAACTGGAGCAAAATGCTGCAATCCTTAAGAATCCAGTCCAAGCATTGTTTTGGCTGGAATTGTGTTGTAGTTGGTGCGGTAAATGCATCTTTAAAGCACAGGGAAAAGTTTTAACAAAATAAACGTGAAAAAGCCTTCTTCACTCAGACAAGGTGTGTTGATTTGGTTCAATAGTAGGAAATCTGAGATCTGGCCTCCCATGAGACTTTAGTGAAGCCAGGAGGTATTACACTGATGGACTCCAGACTAACCCAGATTCTCAGCTGGAGTGACTTGATGAAGGTTTTCTTAATTCTGTGGATCTACTCTAGTATTCACCAAGCTGAAGATCTGGCCATGTATGCTATTTTCTTTTGCAGCACATGTCTGCAAGTAAATTATATATAATTGTGTTTTGTTCTTTTTGGTTTTTGTTTTTGTTTTTTTTTTTTCTTTTTTTCTGTAGGGCATTATCAGGAAGGCATGGTAAGTTCATTTGATTGTTATCTTTTTCTTGAGGCAGGCAAAGTATACATTAGTTCTGCAATGGGTGGTCACTTTGATCAAACTGCAAGGAAGTAGAGGATTTCGAGTTGCCCTGGCAAATATATACATATATGCACCACAGGCTATTGTGGCAGTTAACAAAAGGAAAAAAGAATTAAAATCAGTCTGACCATCTTTAAAACATATTTCATTGCTTTTCAGCACGTGTTAATTTGCAGGTGCTTTGTGGTTTAACCTCCAAAACATTACTGTAATAGTATTAATGGTCATAAGTTCCCAGCATAATATGAAATGATGTCTTATCATAAACCAGCTGGTGAACTTGTTGGCATTCAATAACTTTGAGTCATTATTCAGCAGGCCTAAACACCGTGCAAGTTCCTGGGCCTAGTATGTCTTACTGCTGGTATTGAGACTGGCCAAATGCCTGGCTAACAGAAAACACTCATCTGAGGAGCATAGGTGGAGTCTCACCAAGAATTTAGCATTTACTTCTTGTATTATTTCAATGGCTGCCTTACAGCCAACTTAGAAGGCTAAATGACCTCTTTTCCCAGTGATATCCCTGAACAGTCTTACTTTGTATAAAGTCTACCTTCTACAAATGCCTTTGGATCTACTGTAGCATTTTTTTATTGAGGAATATGAATGTAGCTTTTTCTGGAGTCATTCGCTATCATTCAGGTGGTTGTCAAAATGGAAATTGCTCAGAAAAAGCTCTGGTGCCTTTTTATATACTTTTTTTTTTTCTGTTTTCTTCAGAAGGTGGCTACAGTAGCACTCCAGTCATGCTACCCTAGGTTGCCTGTCCTGCTGATAATATCCTGAATTGCATATCAGAATGGCCCAAAAACATCTATACAAAGGATTGTATTGCAGCTGTGTCGTCATAAGCTTGCTTGAGGTGGTTAATAATATAGCACACCACAATGCAATCATTGGCCCATGGGGAAAATCTTCCTCTGTAGATGTAGTGACTCTAGATGTAAACTCATATTGTTCTGCACAAAGTGATTTGGTTGCTTAGCTCCCTGTATCTGACTGTTTAAGGTTTTATGCATAAAGATACCATTCTTTGTTCATTTTTGAGAAACAGGGTTATTAGGTAATCCAAATCCTACTTGAAAATGATGCTTTTTGTAAATAATAGACTAAGTTACTAGCAGCTTATAGCAAGAGAGCAGTATGCAAAATACGTGGTACTTGGAATACGAAGAGACTATACTGAAACCTTTTGCTGGCTGAGTTGTCTCAAATGAGTATGTGCCTTAATAAGTGTTTATTCTGCATTTGCACAACTGCTGCTCAGTATATTAACATCTCTGAATGTTTTTCAGAAAGAGATGCATTTGACACTTTATTTGACCATGCTCCAGACAAGCTCAATGTAGTGAAAAAGGTTGGAAGGTTTTTATTTTTAAAATACATAATGTGTGCATGTCCATCCTTGTGTGTATCTGTTTGTACATATGTAGTGAGTGTGTATGTATATAATATATAATTGGCATAGTTTGCATACATTAAATACCGTTAAGCTTTATGCTTAAACAAATAAACAAATTCGTGATTATAATGCTACTTTTTATTAATATTTCACAGCATGAACTTAACTTTGGAACACAGAACAACATATAGTTCTCAAAGTTTCCATCAAAAAGAAGTTCTCAGAAAGTGTATGTTGAGTAGAACCCAACTGGTACATTGATTGTACTGATACCAAAGAGGTATCCACTTTACAGCTGCCAGGGGTCTGACCTAGAGTATTTTGGCTGCTGTCAGATTTGAGTGGAGTCCAATTACCCACTTCCCTATAGTCTGCTACAAGGGGTTTTTTTAAGAATTATTATGTTTTAACAGTGTATTTTTATTTATATACATCATTTTCATTTTATTTCTGTTCTTCATTCTTTTTTTTTAATGTCACATTTCAATTTTAAAATTTAAAAACTGTTGCAGTCTCTTCACTCACAGATTCTCTTCTGAGTGGAGTACATATTGTATGCGTTGAACTGCTGCCCCACTGATAGGCCTTCACTGCATTGTTTTCGTATTTCAGACTCTCATCACCTTTGTGAACAAGCATCTGAATAAATTGAATTTGGAGGTCACTGAACTGGAGACCCAGGTAGGATTTTACAGCCTTTCTTAAAGGGGAAGGATAGTTGCACTACGTTATGCACAATGCCCCCAACTTGATCCAGAAATTTCATTGAATTATTATTGATTGAGCTCTAAGATGTTCTTTCAGTGGGAAACCCTTCAATTCTAAATATGTTTACACGAAGATGACCCTCGCCAATTAAGCAAAGAGATCATGAGGGCAGCTAAATTTCTCTAAAACAGTTTTGTACTGCCATTAGCATAAAAATTAATTAACAGATGCTGCCTCTTGGGCGCTGCCAAGTGCTGTAAGCAGAACCTGTGCTTGTTTTTGTCAGGAAAGAACTCTGTCCGCTTGGTTTGATCCAATGTCAAGCTGAACAGTTGTTTCCTGCCTACCTTTACACAAGCACGCAGTCGCATGGAATTACAATGACTCTATTCAGTGAGACACATTCTTGAGAGTAAAGCTACTCAAGTGCATAGGCAACTGTACAGTTGGGCTGCAGGCTTGATTGCACCACAGAAATAATATTGTACATGGTCTTCTTTCTTGTTTTCAGCTGCTAAATTGGCTGAAAAGAAGCTAAAAGAAATGCTTCATCCTGCTATATTAACACCTTCCTACATGAAAAATTGCAGCAGTTATCGTAAGAAAATTACAAAGTCAGGCAGAAAGGATGGTATCTGTACTATCAAAAAACTCCAGGTGTCTTCAGGACAGGCTTGTTTTATGTCTTGAATCATGTCATTAAGAATCTCTGGTTTATTTAAATAGCTATCAATCTGATAGAGATTTTTCAAAGGTAAAATTAAGATTTAGATGGAAATCATGTGTAAGGGCTTTTGGGAGGATGCTCCCTATGCCTGCTTATTGCATTGTTTACTTTTGGAAAAAACATGTTATTCAAATGTACCTAGAAACCCCTTAAGCATTTATCTGAAGCAGTATTCCCTAAGATGAGAGATTGTGTTTCTGTTAGTTGAAAGAAAATTACTTACCTCAGGAAGGTAATGGGTTGCTTCAGATAACTCAGTTTGATTATGAGGATATCTCAGTGCACTGATAGACCTGATGCCACAGGTGTAAGAGTGAGAGGTCTTTAACAAAATCTTATGGGTGTTGCTGTTTTTTTAGATAGAAATGAAAATATATCATAGCAATTAGATATCTTCCATCTGTAATTACATGCAATTAAAATTAGATTGACACAGACTTGCAGAACATCAGCAAAGATGATCCTTTGTTCCTTTATTTCCTCCAATATGTTGAATTTCAGTGCAGTTGTGAGATTGAACCTTCATTCTGCTTTTCTCTGCTCAGGGAATGCATGCCATTTGAGAGCTTGAAAGCTGACTGTTCTCATTCCCCACAACTAGCAGAACAGAAAGCAGAGGCAGAGATCAAAGCCACTGACCACCTCTCTTTCCTGGAACTTTATTCTGCATGTATATTTTAGCTTTAGGTCAGTTTTGGAGAAGACATAACAGAACGTACCAACTAAATAAAAGAAATCAAAGAAGTGAGATGAGATCTTTTAGCTGCAATTTAAAATATTTGTATTTGTAGTTTGTTGACAGTTCTGCATTAGACAATATATATCTTGTTCATTACGCAAAGCAATGAGTTCTTCTTCAGAAAATGTACTGAGAAATGTCTGTTTTACAGTTTGCAGATGGTGTGTACTTAGTCCTGCTAATGGGTCTCCTAGAAGGTTATTTTGTTCCTCTGCACAGCTTTTTCTTGACTCCTGATAGTTTTGAACAAAAGGTAATTAGATTTCATTTTTCTGTTTAAAAACAAATAAACATATAACCATGTCTAGTGTACAAGGATGATGCAGACTTTTCTGCATGTGTCTGATGTAAATAGCGGAAATCAAGAGAGGACTGTACTGGTAACCATTTCCAAGCATTTTTAAGATCTCAGTATTAATGCTTATCCACAATGAAAGGGAAAATTATATTAATGATGGCGTGGTTAGCAAGTATTAACTGATTCTGGCAGCCATTGTGAGATGCTGTCATTGAACTAGGCTTACTGTTCATTAAGTGTATAAAGAATTATACACATGAATTGATGACAGAACTGATTTTTTGTGTCCAAAATCCAAGAATTTGACATTTGAAAGGTTTCATGTTTTTTGGAAGCATAAAGGCATGTATGTATGATGTATCATTTTAAGACCAACCATTACCTCAGTGTCTGTTGCTATTCAGGCAATTCAGCTGTCTATTCAAGACCAGAGCGCTTCATGGGCCATCATGTTCCAATTTTTAAACTTGTGGGAGGTGGGCTATTCTTACTTGTAAGTAATTTTTCTATGGGTACTATTAGTTCACATGTTATTTTTCAATTACTTTTATATTTCTGAAGCCACCATCACCACCCAGAAAAAACAAAACAAAACAATGGATTGTCTGGATTCTATGGACCAGATCTTCCATTGATATATGGAGCCCTGACTATTTTTTCCCTCTGAGCATCTGGGTCTGCGGCTTTAAATATATCTTGTTTTGACCATTTATACTGTACTGTATATAGTTCACAATAATTACTACCTTTTTTATATTACTAGGTCCTCAATGTATCCTTTGCGTTTGACCTAATGCAAGATGGTGGATTGGAAAAACCAAAGCCAAGACCAGAAGGTATCTATTCTACTTTTTTTGTATCTCCTTGAAAATTTGCGTTGGATCTGGATCTTATCTCATAGAATTATGGTATAGCTAAGTGAAGATTAAAACATTAATCCAAGAGCGAAAGGCAAGATACGTTTTGAAGTGCTCAGGTAACTCTGTATTTTTAAATGGCCGATAGATACACTTTTTCGAATGTTGCAAGGCTTCCTTTCTTGAATAGCCAGGGTAAGATTTGGGTGACCAAACATTCACAGTCGTGTTCTTTTTCTTTCAGTGAATATTTGAGTATTAGTGCATGACTGTGAATGTTGTCACTGGCAGATATGGATTACTCCAATTGCTCCATTTTCCCCATCCCACATCTTCAGACTGAACCCTAAGTATTCCAGTGCAATTTACAAGATTTTCACAAAAGAGGTAGATGTTGTGGAGGAAGAATTTCAAATGTTCACATAACTGCTTTCAAATACAGGCCCTAATCAGGCATATTTAAATTAGATTTAGAGCTGGAGACTGAAAGGAGAAAGTGTCTTCAGGGGAGATGAAGGTTTTGTTGCTGACTTTAGCAGGACTAGGATTCCACTCCTCTTTGCTCATATAAATACAGGGTTTAAATCCAGCTTTTCAGGCAGGATATAGAGCCCTTGATTCACCATGTTACAGGGTGCTATTGTGGTTCCTCCTGTGAGAAGTTGCCGTTTCTTACAATGCAGCTTCTGCTCCACTCTTCCCAACAGGGGTGGTAGCTGGGCTTCTGCTGGTTACCTACCATAGCAATCAATATATTATGTGTTTTCAAGACCCACTGCAGATTGACATTCTCTGGTGCACACAGTCTTTTCCTGCCATAATATTGGATTGTCATTCCCTGAGGAGATGGTGTAAACTAATGCTCAGAGTTTTACATCTAATAGTAAGGAGCCTCTGGAGATTCAGGCACACATCACTGAATCAAGTTCTGCTCCATTCTGCTTATTTTCCATCCCTCCCAACTTCCAGATCATAACAGCAGCAGCAGATGTACGCACGGACACAAAAAAATATGTTTCAGGATTGAGCCTATGCTTTCTAAGCATTTAATCTGGACCTACCCAGCCTGTTTTTTCATTTCTTTTGATTTCTTGAACTCTTATCCACAGTCATGCTTGACTAAACCAGTGGTGACTGTATCACAAACTTTTATGTTTGAAATAGTCAAAGAGAGAAGGGGGAAATAGTGAAATCTAGGGATCCAAGTAAAACAGAGAGTATCTGTGATCCCTTACTCCCCATGGAGGTTTAAAATTCTTATGGCATTTAATTTTTCAGGTATTTATTGCTCTAGGGGACAGCTAATTTTTCCAGTATAAATCAAGCCGTAAGGATATTTCAGCATATATAAGACATTTCTTGTGCAATTATTGAAATGCTTAATATGAAACTTCCTGCCCAATGTGAATGGAAAAACACATCTGTTTTATGTGTTGTTACATTGGGCACAATGCCCATACTTAAAATTTCCAGTGAGCAAAAAAGTATTGAAAAGGATCTTACCCTAAATGTGTATACTAAATACTCTTTAAATTCCTACACTGTTTCTTTGAGGTTCTTAAGAGAAAAAAAATGCTGAAAAGTGCTTTAGAATATGAAAAACATACTTTAGTGGAAAAAAGAATGCGCTTAAATAAATGAGTATGAAAACCAATTATTTTTATGGGGTCAACAGTTTATTCGGGTTATTTACAATATAATTGAAAAGGTATTAAAAAGCTTTCTGTGACCTTTTACTTTAAAAATGGCTGGAGCACATCTACTGAGTCCATAACAAATTCATTTGCAGTTTGAGCTTTTTCAGATTACTACTTGAAATGTGTACACCAAAGCCTAACTCAAGTTTCTCTTTTTGAAAATTACAATCAGTAAAATGTTATACATGTTAGTCAAACACATGTAGCAATGGAAATATCTCATCTTTCTCTGGGACCATGCTTCTTTTTAGTTTCAACCTTTCTGTGGAATTCTGTTGTGGTGGTGGAGTCTTCTGGTAACTTTACAATGACCTGTCAAAGTTATCTCTTTATTCATTTGAAGTTCTGTATTAGGAAAGGAAGGCGTTATGCAACTTGCCGCTGGCCTGAAAGAGGAAACTTCCAGAGTTACATGCAAACGGTATTGCAGAGTGTAACACGATGTGGGAGCAGTCTGCCCTTCCTGTAGCTTTTGGCATTTTCTTTTCATTTTATACCAAGCATTTTTGATCTGATTTATTAAGAAACCGCGTGGCTGTGGTTTCATGACCATGCATAGGCCCAGCATAAAATCTGAGTGTTTTCACCCTTTGTCCATGGATGTTAGTTTGCCATGTAGCTAGTACCTTTAGCCTTCCAAAGTCTGCATACTTTGGGACACCATGCATAGATTTGATTGGATTCATTCTTCAAGGTATAATCCCTTTACAATCTATGAGAAACATCAATATAGATAAATATAATGGCAAAACTATCTGATGATTACATGCACAATATACTAGGTTTACTTGGGAGATTTTGAAGATAATGGGAGTATGCACACCATCTCCTTTACACCTTTATGGCCAATTCCAAGATCCAAAGTTAGGAGATTGAGTTCCTATACAGTCAGCAGAGATAGGACAATTCTAATTCTAATTCTGTTCTATTCTTTCTGAGGGCAATTCTCAATCCCTATTTGAGATTAAGTATTCCTTGAAGCACTAGCATAGACTGCTGCAGTAGTACTTGTCAGTTTGTTTTATAGATTTCTTGTGAAATAATATTGACTTTCTCAAGAATTTCTCTTCAAAACAGAAGGTATTCATTAGCTTTTTGTTTCATATAAATGCTTTACTTTAGACATTGAGTTTCTAAGGACTGATTCAGCCATGTACATCAGCTATCCCAAAGATTTTCTGAAGTGTCTTCAAGGGGCACTTCTATACCTAGCTTCTTTAGATCCTTTAGAAAATTTAAACTTGCCTCTATCTATCTTGCTGAAATTAGGCCTAATAAAAGGTCTTGCAGCCCAGAATGGGCCAAGTCATGGAATTCTTACATAAGAGAAGAGTTCCATTGGTTCCTGCATGATGATTTTTTTCAAACACATTACTTTTCGGCCACAACTGATTGAAGATTCAGTCATATAAATATACATAATCCTAGGCACAATTTGTCTCACAGGCATCTAAACCTTGGTTGCATTTCTACATCAGCACTATTAGCCATTTGTATCCCTAAGTAAAAGTGGTTGAAATACCAATTTTTGGGTTGCCAGTTTAAAAACTGTGCTTTGTTTACATTTCTACTCTTTCTTTCTATCCTTATGATTCTAATGGTCATGGATATGGATTTGAGCAAGGAAAGGGAGTAGAGAATGGGCACTTTTTCTGAAAAAATGTTTTGAGCTTATGAAGTTACTAATTTGTTTTCCCTTGTCTTTTTTCTAGATATTGTAAATTGTGACTTGAAGTCTACGCTGAGAGTGTTGTACAATTTGTTTACCAAATACAGGAACGTGGAATGAAGAATTTATTTGGGTTGTAAAGGAGTACTAACAAAGAAAGCATCATAACTATCATATTTTTCATCGGTATTCCTCTGCATCTTTATCCTAAAAGGAACTAAACCATTTAAAAGAATTTTTAGTTGATTATTCTTGCACTACTATTTTTGTAGTAGACTTAAAGCTAATATAACTTATGAAGAAAAGAGGTTAGGAGGAACTTATTTGGGTATATTCTCAGAGAATTAATGTCTCAGTAATAACTGTCTTCACACTGTTTTGTAGTAGGTGGAGCAACAATGAAAAAAAAGATTTAGTAACTTTAATTCAAATCAGCCTTTGAAGCCAATTATAGGAAGATTCTGTACTGAGTATCTATTTTAATATTTTTTTACATATATGTTTTCTAATCTGGGGAGGGGAAGAATATTTTCTATCCACGATAAGATGGTTGCATTCTAATTATGAGAAATGTGCACAGGAGAAACAGTGAAATACTCTTGTTCACATCACAGCTAAAAAGAAGAGACTTTCTCAAACACCTCACCTGATTAATTTATATTTCCAGTGCTATTAGGCTTGAATTTTATGGGTACAAACTGAAGTGGCTACTCATTCCTTCAGACTTATTATAATGTGATACTGTGCTTTAAATATGTGTTATTGAGCATTCTGCATAAGCACGCTTTGCAGCTTGTCACTTGGTTTTGTTTAAGGAAGAGATCTTTTTTGCAAAGTGCACATTTCAGGAAAGTACACCTGTATAATACAGTTTCTCTATAATATTTGTATTATTACGTAGTGTTAGAAAATAAAAGAATGGCTTGTTTTTCTTTTAGTAGTTTAAACACAGGATTACCAGGTTGCAAGTTTAGATTTATTGCTAAATAGTTGTTACAATTTGTCTCTTTGGTTGCTTTTATGATGGATGTATTTTGCTGCATACTGTCCAACATCAAAAAATAAGATTCATTTTCTAGAAACATTTCTGTAGTGTTTCAGATACAAAAGCACTGCTTTCTGGTCAAAACTACTCCCATCTGCAAAGACACGGTTACAGTGGAAGGTTCTTTGGTCATTTTATGTGGCTATAAAGAATACTTTTATCTAATCATCACCAAGTATAAGCTGTTATCTGTTTGGTTTTAGTTTCAGCAAAGACAAAAAGGAGAAATGGGAGTTGATTCACCCCTTAGACTGGTATCAAGCAACAGTTATGTTTCCATAAAGAAGCTGATAGAGACTGCCTGAATCGTCAAAAACTGCACTGGCATAAGTTGAAGAGTAAATTAATCATTTGATAGAAGTCTTGATGTTAGTATTAGATACCTTTCTAAACGAAGTAAGTGCTCCAATGCAACCACAGATTCTTGAGATCCTGGGTTACACAGGAAGGAAAAAAATCCTTAGGCAGAAATTGCTGGATGACTGTTCAGAAATCTTTGGACTGCTTAGTGCAGGAAGGAGACTTGTTAATAGTCATCCAATTATGGCAGTACTAGGATAGGTAAAAGGGAAAGCAATCTGTCAGCTCTTGAGTCTGTTCATCTGAAGAAATGCAGTGCTGACAAGAACAGTCAGCAACAGCTATATGTTACGTATTATATAAAGCATTACATATTTTTCCTTTTTTTTTAAATGTAGAGCTTTCCAGTGCAACATTAGCATAAAGGAAAGACAAGCAATTACATTCTGTCTTTGATGAACACTAACTGATGTTTAATAACAAGATGATACTGACTTCTGCTGGGGGCTACAGAAATTATTCTTCTGAGAAGTAAATACCAACTTGTGTAAAGGAAAGTCAATATTTAATTCAGAGGACAATACCTAGATGTTCTCTGAACTCAGAAATTGCTATCTGATTGTTCTAAATATTCTAAATATCTTTATTAAAATATTTTATTTCCTCTATATTTTTAACTGAGTTTCTGAAATTAGAGGTACAGAAAATAACAATTATTTGCCCTTTTACAGAGGGAAATAACTGGACATTTTGACCTCAATGGAAATGAACATATTTTCATTATATCTTTAATATCTGAGAAGCTAAATAACAGGAGTTAACCAAGCATTTTTTGAGCAAACTGAGACAGAACTTCTCATGTATATACCAGCAGCAATTTCAGCTTATTTTAGTGTTTAACATGTTAACACACCTAGATTGTAGTAATTGTAACAGTTAATTAAAAAATGTATGATGTTTTTTCTGCAGATCATGCTCAGCTGAAACACTCTCTTATATCTCAACAATGCCAAAACATTTTGATTGCCCTTGTTTTCAGGAGTGCGCTTTCTTTAAAGAGAGGAAATTTATATACGTAAAGGAAAAAGGTTAGGAACAGTGAAACTAGTTTTTGCCTGGACTTGAAAATAAGTATTCATGTGGGATATTGATATAACATTATTGGAGATTTTGAAGTCTATCAGACTCCATTTTCCATCCTTAAAAAAACATAAAACTGAGACAGAATGATGAAATCCTCATGCTGAAATGCAATTATGCAGAACCACAGATACAGTTAAACAATATTCAGCCTTTACACCATTATCTATCCTATGGTAAGAATTTATGTAAATTAAAATATGCTATATAAACAAGTGTCCTATGTAAATAGAGACCCATGTGATAGTTTTAACACATTCGCACAAATAGTGTATGCTGCCATGTAGAAGTGGGTCACTGCTTATATTTTTTGACAGTGTAGATTTAAATAGCTATCAGATAAATATGAAATCTAATATACAGATTATATCTAATATTTATTGCTTTGATACAGAATATTATAGAAATATAGAATACTACTGTAGACAGTTTGCTCTTCAGCAGTCGGTGTAGGCCAGCACCTTCCTTCAGGGAAGTGAAATGTTAAGTTAGCTGGGCTAAATTCTGCTAACACGTCTGATGCTTTTATTCTTGATACACAGCAGTGTATACTGATGTACAGCTGAATGCAGAATTTTCCTTGCTGTTTATATTAAGACAGAAGTTGTTTAAGTTTTAGGTCAATCCTGGCTTTATTTATAATTACTTTAAATGATTAAATAGATCCAAATAAATGTATTCTGCCTATGTAAGATAAGAACAGTCACCTGGAGGGGCCAGTTTCTCTGCTGGTCCCAGAGGGAGCCTCTGTTCTCCAGGCTGCTATCTTGGTGCTTTGGCCAGGTTTCTAAAGCCAGGTAGTATGAATCCAAGCCACTGCCTTAAGATCTTGTGGTGGTATTTGGATCTCACCCACCAGACCAATGTCCTTCTCTGTTGTGCTCTGTCACATGAAGACCCACAGGTGACTGAGTCCACTGAAAACTACAGATTATTAGCTTGCCTTGAGTGACAAAAAATGGTAAACATTGCTGCTGCTGAGGCTTTATGAAACTGCCAGAAGAACAGTTTTCTGTGCTTCTCTGACTTCTAATCCATCCGTTGCATCCAGCAATATGGTATCCAGATTTGTTTTGTGGTTGGAGATAGATATCCTTTTTCTGTTGATGGATCCTGGCATGCTCGGTCAACCACACTAAACTTTATTTTTTTCAAAGAGGAGCTACAAATTCTTAATAGTATGTCAAAAAGATGTTGTCAAAATAGTTATCTAAAATCCTAGTATCTTGAGGTCAACTCCTTTCCCAGCTGACTGGTATTTAGTTGCCATAAAGTACAGGCTCTACAAAAAAGGTGTTGGAAGGAATCTTTGCATAATTTTACCTGAGACACACACAGAAAGTCCAGAATTAGATTGCTCTGTATTTCCAGTGGAGTACAGACGCACCAAGTTTCTTATTAAATGAGCAGACTGCAGAATATCTAGTTCTTTGCATTTCTTAGTCAGTAGATATCTTCTTATTACAGGGACACAGCAGCCTTTGCAGCTACATAGTTCAGGAATTCAAGTGGACCAGCGAGTGCTGGATAAGGTCGTAATCTACTTCGATTGACTGTGGGCCAAGTTGTTGATTGGCATATCTCCATATAAACCAGTGGCAATAAATCAACAGAGCATTTGGTCTTTTCTGTTTTAAAGAGGGTTACCGTACTTGGGAATGGTTTACCTTCAGGCAGACTGTATTGATTGAAATGCTACTTGGTTGACTTTTGTTCTTGCTTATTTTCTTAAAGTATGTTTTTAAATTCATGTTTCAGATTAATTTAGCAGACACCTTACTGCAAGCCACAGTGTTGTAAAGCAAAATGACTTTTTTAAAGTAATGGGTTTTATTTCATTAGAGAAAGAGAGATATATATGATATTTAATGTACTAGATGCTAGCTTTAGGTCTAGTTTTTTGTTATTTTTTGTCTTCCTATGAAAACAGCCTTCATGAATGGCCTGTGTGTATGCCAGGCACCCAAAGAGAGAACAAAGACGACCTCTTGCAAGATTTTCTACACTGTTACCTAATAGACTTTTGTCATTTTACTACAAGAATTAGTGTGGGATTTCTCTTTACAGTCAAAGTACAATTAAAGGAAGAAGTCCTTTGTAGAAAGTCATAATTAGTTTGAAGTAAGGTATTGTATTTTGATGTATCACATGAAAAATGGAGCTAGCAGCACCAAAATTCCAAAATTACGCATACCTCAGCATCCACCAATTTTCCAAAGAGGTTTTGAGTCATTTAACATTTACTAGGGCTAATTTAATGTATTTTGACACTGTTTTCTGTGTGACTATTTGCATTAATGAGATTTTTGTTTCTGTCTAACAGTTTAATACTACACACTCTGCAACAATGTTAGTGTCATTGAAATATTTGGTTCTCAATTTCAGTATCAAACTAATTGAGAGAAAAGCATATTTGCAAAATTTACTTCTTGGTGTGTGTATCTGAAAATAATGGTTACTTTAAAATAAGCTGCATTGCCATCAACTGCAGAGTTAGTAGCTTCCACAGGATATATTTTATGTACTCTGTAAGTAAGAGACACTCTATTGCTGATTTTTTTCTTGTGCTTTTTCTGAAACCTGTGCTGTGATCCACAATAAAATTTGCACCTGAAAAATCAACACTGTATGTTGT